TGTAATTTTGGATTTTTTTATGCTGTGCGTACCATTGGTTGGACAACTCGGTGCAATGTACAATATTATTATTATGTAATATTTTTTCTTAGGTTATTTACCTTTCCATAAATAATTTTTTCCATATCATGTTTACTTAGCATACATAGATAGATGTATCGGCGGTCAATTTCATGCATTTGAACGCCCTATATAACAGCAACAGCTATAGATAACTGCAATGTTTATAGTTTGTATTGTGTAATAAGATAATATAAAAAGCATCGGAAACATTATCTTCCATCGATTTCAAGGGATTCATTTAAGCTAGAGGCAGATTCTTATTCTCAAGGAGTTAAAGAGAAATGCCTCAAATTGAGCGACTGGATTCTCAGAGTATGTGTACTTCTTCTTAAAATTTCCCAAGTACAAAAATAGACTGAACTGAATCTGTAAAGTGTTAGAAGGAAATTGGATATTTGTGCCTTGAATGCAACGATATATTGCATGTTGTATTCGCCGACATGGATTGTTTTCCAATTCTTAAATGTGGTTCCTTCATATCGTCTACGGCAGCTAACTTTCCAGTTGCACCGAATATGTACTCAAGATAAACTCCTTTTTTTTTTGTGGTGGTCATAAAGAAGTGGGGAAAAAAAGAAAGAGATAGCGGGTGGGTGTGCATTTAATGAGTAGGTGTTGTGCCTGTACCTATCTGAAGCAGACCTCACTGTAGCTACGACCCAGTGTGCAGAGCCATGCTGAAATTTGAACCCGTAAACACCGACTTAGCAGTCGCGAATCTTACCTATTCGATTACTCACGCGGATTTGGGTAAAATGTAAATGATTACAAGTACAAGCAAAGAATGCGGCAGTAAGCCGACCAATTGACTTTGAGGAGTCCGGTGTAAAATTTTATAGCGAGAGGGCAAACAGTTGAGAGCGAGCAAAGTACAATTATAATACTTGCTCCCTACATATAAGATCGTACCTCGTCCATCTAAGAGATTGTTCACTTATCTAAGTTCATTGTTCAGCGATCTGAAACGGACTTACGTCCTACCAAAGAGATCTAAGCTTCAATAAAATATGTTTTCACCAGATTTCGCGAAAACTTACCACAAACAAGCAAAACCTCTTATAGTGGACACAACCGTCAGCTTGCATGGGAGCATTTTCACTTGAATTGGTTTTTTGATCGTCTTCTTTTGCTCTTTGATGGTATTGGTCGTCAATTAAGGAGGATGTTTTGACGCTAACATTAGAATCTTCAATAAACCGAAGAGACGGTGTTGATAATGATTTGCGTAGCATGGGCCTCCTCCTTTCGCTGGACACCGTCGACAGTGTTGATGACGACGATGCGATGCGATTGACTTCACTTTTGTAGGCTTGTTCAGCACTATGACTCAATTGCTGCGACAAACTGGCATGAGATCGTTTATTAACTGGTAATTGAGCCATCAATGATGCTTCTTTTGCGCTTCTCCTTGCTTCACTTGTTCGTTCTCGTTTTATATTGTATTAAATTGACTCGATCGATGATATTGATGATGGATGATGTTATTCACAACAGAGCTTCAATTTATATGTTAATGGGAAGACGATAATTTATTTAATTCATAGAGAGAAAATTCCAAGTATTTTGACGGGTAGGATTTACTTGGAATTAAGTACAGATGAAAAATAACCGAACTAAGATTTCTTATTATTGCATCTTCGCAATGAATTATTAATAAATTTTATGTGAATTATTGCTGCATTTAATCTATATTTGATTTGTTTTATAGTTAAAAACGGGTTCGCACATAAACTTAATAGATTTGCTTTCAATATCGCATATCATTATCTTCCATTTCTAAGGCTATTTTTGCCTGTTTTCCGAATTAAAATATCTTTACTTCAATTGAAGCGAATTCGCTTCGATAAAGCAATTTTTATATTTAAAACAGGAACACGATTTTATTAGACGACAAATTTTTTCGTTAATTAGAATACCGTGAATACCGTCACTTCAACCTTACGCGTGAAGCTTTGATTCTACACTACACCGAATTCATGTTTAAACTGCTGTTTCAATCGATAGTTTATTAAGTAGAAACTGGCACTCGTCTCGAAAGGTATCGAGACTCAATCAATTGTCATTCTCTGCTATTGTAACGCTGCGCTCACAATATTTGACTTACTCTCAACTCAACTTATTGGTCATTTCTTTTTTTTTTTTTTTTTTTGTTTATTAATTTATTCGGTCTGCAAGTGTGTTTCTCTGTTCTCTCAATTTTGAAATTTTAATATGTGACAAGCGACATTATTGCTTCGTATCTCAAAAACTGAAAATGGGAACTTCTTAACCACCAAAGGAGCGATCAACAAATTTGAGCTGGATTAAAGGCATGCAGGTTCATTTTTGGCCGGAACAGTTTTCTAAAGACATTTCTATAAACACAGGGCGAAGAGGAGTAAAATTTGTACAATTTTTATTCACCTTAACTAGTGCAAGGTCATCCATCAAATGAATGTATTTGTCAAGGTTTTGCTTTTCTATGTAAACTTTGCGTGTGTTAAATACGAAGAAAAACAATCAGAAACTGCAGTCGAAGCTTGCATTTTGGTTACGTAGTACATTAAGATATTCTCTCTCAACGACTTTGCGACTATCGTAACGCGTGTAAAACGCGCAAGGGACATCCCCATAAAAAGAACGTTGCTAACCAGAATGACAGCCACTTACGAATACATTTTCGAGGAAAAGATGCAATACTACAGTGGATAAGTGGTGTGGTAAAAAGTAAGGAACCTAGCAAAAAATATATACTTTTTGTTGGCAAAATTAGATTCGTCGACCGAATGGTTATAGACTTCTCGTTCGAGCTCTTCACTCGAACAAAGCGCTTATCAAACAACCGAACTTGGATCTCTTCCAACTTGCTAATAAGGTGTGGGCATCAAATCTGGAGAGTGCTGGCGTTACGAAATCATATGCACATATATCTCAATTCAAACAACTTTGCTTATGCAACGCAGGCGATGAAAAATAATTTGTTTCGTTTTCAAATCCAGCTGCTTCTTCTTAATTTTTTTCTGTATTCAACCGATCCAAAAAACGTTTAATGAATAATTTTCACTTATTACCCTTCTACTCTTCTTAAGGTTTGTGATCAAGATTATGTCATGTGCACGTCAAAAGGCATTGACTACAGCCATTACCACCGACCCTTGCCCCATTACCTTGTGTGGTAAACTTCTGTCTACCCAAAGAGACCTTTTCTCCAGTCATTACGTGATTCCGGTTTGCGGGAGTGAATTTACGCTACAACTATGAGGGGAGACTAAAATGAATAGACCTTAGACAGCTTTCAACTTTGCATAGGTTGCACGAAAAGGCTACTATTTCCTCGAATGTGAAAGTGACATAAAGTCCTCGTGCATTCAGTTTTTAGCTTAACTACAGCCCGTAGAAGAGGTTGACTGCCACAGCCCACTTGCGCACTTTAGATTTTAGGCTCATCCATTATCGCTGTAGTTTCTCAATCGTTTTGGGCGACTTAAACCATGCTCATCCTTTATGCTTGTAGGACGACGCTCAAGTGCAGGCACTCATTATTTTAAAGCACGTTATCTGATGAAATAGATTTCTTGTTATGTTGATCGGATCTTTTTCTAGTCAAGAAATAGCCGAAGCCGCGCGCCTCCTATCAGCAAATCTCAAAGAACTTCTAACTTACTAAATATAGGCAAAGCGTATAGGGGAGCTGTAGGATGGGTGATGACGATTGCCCTGTATACCAATATGACTATATAAAGTTAACTGACAGGATCGGCTGCGTTGGCGATCAATATCTCGTTATACGTTCATTTTCATTAATATGCAGCCGTGTCGCGGCCCTCGGAACAACAAACTGCAATAGCGCTGTCATCAGCAGAAGTGGAATTCCTATATCGTTTAGAAAAGAAGTTAATTCTTAATGCGAAAAGTTTTTTCCATTGTACTGTGTAACAAAGGCACAATACGGATCGCACAGCCTGCCGAGCTAAATTTATCGGCAAACGAGTAAAGTTTCGGCGGGATTAGAAGAGCGGATAATGAAAGTAGAACTTCTTGAAAAGAATTAAATAAAGATCTAAATGTCATCTCTTCATAAATATATTTAGACTTAAATAAATTACTTTGAATTTCATTTTCACAATTACGGATAAAGCGTTCATTCTGGGAATGGCTAAATGTAAAATAATCACTGTGCCCTAATAACACCATTAGGTTAGTGTAAGATATTGTACTTCTTTATACTACTATGAATTACCATGCATTCAATATGTAATCTTTACGGCGTAATATGCTCTGCCAACAGGGATACTTATACTGTGGCTGTAATGAGGACAAGAAAAGCGCGTTGGAAGAAAAATAAATCAAAGTGTTTTATGCATCAAAATGTACAGAGTGTGCGGACCTATTAGAATGTTGGGTGAATTTCAATTTGTGGTAGCCATCTTGGGCGCATTGTTGTTTGCTTCTTGAATCTCTCCGTATAGCTTTCCCCGCTTGCACAATCAAAGTTTTCAATTATTATTAATTATTATTATTAGTATTAATTAATTTCTAACTACCATTTACCTGAGATAATGACAGCAAAAGAACTTGAATATCTTTGTTGTGTAGAGAACGCATTGAACACTTTTAATTGTTTTCCGTTTTTTTTTTTTTTTTTTTTTTTTTGTGAGTATTGTTTACGAATATCATAAAACTGTACATTTATATTATTTTTTGTGCGTAGATATTATGATACGCTCTGATTAATTGGTTTAAATTGAAAAAACCAAAAGTTGTTTTGAACTTGTAACACATTTCATTTCATTTCAGTACACATTTTCTCGCTGTTATTGCTGGCAATCCAAACTTTATTAACGCGTTGAACGCTCAATGTCATTGAAACAGATAGAGAGGTTTTCTGTACATGATAGCTGGGTCGACTCGTTCGATACCCATCATCTCTGTCTATTCGTGACACCTTTAAAGATCAAATCGACCATTTATTTGTTTCCAATGTAAAACTGCTCAGCATAATTTTTCATGACTTCAATTAATAGACGTAACGGTTTAAGATCGTTATGCATATTCCCCATCTGGGGGCCCATAACCCATCTGGATTATAAATACTTCACGGAATTTTCTGTATCATAGACTTCGCGTACGCTACATTTGGAACATTAGTGGGAATACTTGTAAAAATTTATTCAGTGAACAATTCACCAGCAAGCAAACGCATACATATATATAAAAAAAAAAAATGTACACATAAAAAAGTTAATCAATCAGTAGTCGTGACAGTGTTAGCGCTGAGTAGCAATTGTAGATTAGATTTTGTAAAAGAATTTACAACATGTGTGCTTATAACTAATAATAATCTTAGCTTGGACGTTATAACTTGTGACCAAATCAATATGTTTATACATACGTAGATATATGATTTACATGATTACATTTTTCGTATACTCCTTTCTATTTTGTCGGTCAGCAAACCTACCTTTGCGATCAGAAGGGAAATGACATATTCCTATCAATAAGAAATAATACCGTAAAATATATATATTCGTATTTCTAAGAAGATTTAAATGTTAGCATCCTTGCAAGATGTTTAAGGATGATGAATATGAGATAGTTTTTCAATTAGTTTCGTTGTTTTGTTAATGAAACAAAGTATCTATTTAATACTATTTGTGTTCTTCTGGGTCGTCAAAGGTGAAATTTTGATATAACACAGCGTGTTAGCTAACTTGCATTTAATTTATTTTAAGGAAATTCTAAGCATATATTATCTACATATCGCATCCTTGACGACATTAAAAATTAATCAGCCAACAATCTATAGAATCTCTGTTAACAATAATAAAAAATCACTATGTTTAAGATTTCCAATGTGCACTTGATTATGTTAGTATACTTTATTTTTGCTTTGAACGCCCTCTTGTATAAAAAATGTACTTCACATTTTGCATTATGTTAATGCTGTTTCTGGCTTTGCTTCGCAGTCAAGGTTTGTGTGCCAGCTAATGTATACTTTTGCAAAATCATCTTCATTTTCCATTAAACAATTCGTTCATTTACACAGGGCGTTTATTAACATGAATAAGTGATGTGCATATATTTAAATACGGAATTAGATTTAAATAAATAAAAATGAAAATATACAATGCAGAGAATGCAAAAGAAAAAGTTATTTTTAATATACGCTCAGAATTACGTTCTCTCACCACAAAATTATTGTACAGAAGCGAACATTGCAAAATAAATGCAAACAAGGCCATCAAAAATACGTTTTTGTTGGTTGGTTAAGTTAAAACTTAGTAAATTTACATTACATTAGAACCAAGGCAGTTAAGGTAAAATCTATTCTAATTGTCCTATTATCATTTCGCGCAACTGCGAAAAAGTATTGTGCATCTTCTCGTCCATAAGATATGAAAAACACATCATTTCTTTTTTTATGTGACCATCCACTTGGGAAATATTACCTCCACGTGTAGCACTGTGATGGTCAAAGAAAAGTGGGGAAGGAGAGGCAACTGTCCAATAATTCCTAAGCGATTTCTTGTTCACCTATGGTATATACAACGATCAGAAGGACTTGAGATGGATTGTCTGCTCGCCTTTTTATTCTTCTTATTTAATTTTATTATTACACTTATTTTTTGTTATTTAATTTTATTAAACATATGATCGTTTTCTTCAGCTTTGTCCTGCCAGTTAGCATTTAGGTGAGAGAAATGTAATGCTGGATTTATACAATACAATATAATATCTACTATTATGGGTCTGGATATAATATAGATATAATAATAGCGGATGTCTGAAAACATCCTCCAGAATGCAATCCTTAAGGTTACCTGAGATGAAGAGTTATTTGTACATCTCTAGCCTGTGGAAGAAATTCTTCAAAAAATGTTTGTCAATCGTTTTTTTTTTTCCACTGGTAGCATTCGATATTTGTACGCTTGATGTGGTGGATGT